AAAAAAATCCTTTTAGTTTGACAACCTTTGAAGATGCAACTGCACTCAGTCCTCACTAGTTAGAGTGACGTGAGGGCAGCGTTGATTTGTTTCACTCTTGGAACATTCTTGTGTGAATAGAGATGTTGTATGTTGGTACAGCTAATTTGGTTCCTTGTGAGTTTAAAACTAAATATACCAGAAAATGAGTGCCTAACTTTAGGATTGTCTGTCGTGTTTGGCACGTGTCCATAGTTCTAAACAGTGGCCAAAATTTACCATTATGGGCCCCTCTAACTTTTAAATCTGAAGTTGGAAATATGCTCCAGCTGAGTGTTTCAGGATAGGAAATAATGTATCTGTTGTCATCTTTGTGGTGACATATGCCTACAGAGTTTATCTTTGCAGGTGGGTGTGGACTTTCATAGTTGACAGTGTTGAACACATCCAGTGATCTCCCTTTAATGTGTTTTATTTGGTTATCTTGGTTTTCTCAATGGAGAAGCTGTGCAGAGATCTTAAAACACTTTCAGGCTACACTTTCAGTTTCTTACTGAAAGGAGTTACTTCTTTCACAGTTTACTTGTTAAGGAGCAATTCCATTTTTCATCTTAAATGCATTATAAAGTAATTCTTACAGATACATTTTCACATTTTTGTTGATATGTAAGTAGTTTGCTTTCTTTTATCACAAAGCTCACAGTACAGTATCCAGATTTTTAGTGCTAGATACATGAGTCGTCCATTGGAATGAATCTCTGTGACATATTCAGATTCTGATCTGATCACTTTGTGTGTTTATGCGTTGTGTGATCTATGAGGCTCTCCCTGACCCTTTGCTCCGCAAATGCACCATTCTTACCAGCTGCTGCCACGTTGACTGCTCTTAATTTAGCATGGCATTTTGTTCCTCCTGCAAAAGAAGACCTTGATATAGTAACATAGCATGCAGTATATTGCTCTTTTACACATCACTTTTGCAATTACATGCAGTGTACACTTTTGTATGTTTTATATTTAGTCTGTTGTTGGACATGTCCATCTTGTCCAACACATATAATTGCGGCAGTTGGTCTACATAAAACCAATTCACTCATAAAAGGTTAGTTATAGTGTGTTGATTTTGGCCACTGATATCTTGGCCATTGATAGCTTTACTGTTATAGTGTATGCCGTAGTGTAGCCTGGGATTATGTAAATAATTGCTGTGATCTTTAAGAGCTTCTGTCTCTCGTATACATGTCACCAACTCTAGCTATTTCCTCACCATGCAATGTAAGTGGTATCCAACCTCTGCCCTTACTCACTATTGCATATCTTGGTCAAGACTCATACATTTTCCTGAAAATCAACAGCATATATTAATTATCATCACAGTGCAGCCAGGTATACCTGCATACTCCCAGCAGACTGGGAACACCCTGCTCACTTATTGAAAGTGCCCCAAATTCTAATACTGCTCTAGCACAAAGACAGACACAAAGTCCTGCTTATAATTATGTTGTGGCTTTAATTAGACATTGATTTTGTGTAAAACTGTATGGAAAGAATCACTTAACTTGTCTTCCACGTAAGAAATGAACACTTTTTTGGCGTTTAATAAGGGTCAGCACAATGAACAGATGGAAGAACTTTTGAAAGTTAAGCACACCCAGGCTGTAAGCTGTATGTAAAAACTGTACGTATCTAGTGTTCCTTCCCCCAGTTCTTTCTCAGAAACATCGCCAATTCATGCTGTTTTATTTATGCTATGCACTGGGATAAAGCCAAAGTAAAGCCAGACTTTCTTATAAATATTTCCTATTAAACAGAAATTTCACCAGTTTCACAAAAAGTCTGCAGTAATAAATTGTTTAGATGTAGACAAAGTGGTTTACGTAGTGGTTTGACCCATTCGAGAGAAACTTACAGTTAGGATAATTCATTATGGTGGTGACAGGAAGCAGATGTTCAAAGCATTTAAAGCTACCTCACAGAAAATTACTAGCTGGGGATAAAAGTATTGCATGATGCCCGAGACGTTGTTGTGTGATAGTTTTGATATAAAGTTTTGGCCTAAAATATATTTTTAAAATACAGGCATGATGAAGAAGTTCATAAAGGGTGTTGTAAAGGCATTTTTTTCACCACTATTTAACTTCATCAGCATTACATATAAAAACTTGGAAGACATGCGTGGATTCACTGTGGTCATTTTGGATAGCAAAAAAGGGCTATATTGTGTTCATGACCCCTGGTTCCTATCACCACCACTGTAAGAAATCCAGCAGCAAGTTTCTCCACAATGCACTAGTTCACGTCAAACCGCTCTAAATGTCTTTACATCTCAACCATTGAATTGTTGCAGAAATTTTGAAAAATCCACAAAAAAATACACTATATAATAAGTATATAAATAAGTATATTCAACTAATACTAGACTTAAGCTTTTTAGTGATGTGGAATAGACTGTTAGTACTTGGAGAGTTTAGTACTTTGGCAGATACATTTTATTTTGGCATTTGGAGCTGCTAATGAGCTTGTATGAACTGGCTGGTTTACTCATGAGTTTAGCCTCAAGACTTTGATTGCTGTTTTGAAACTATAGTTGCACAGAATACGGTGCATTACTTACAAGTCTGTAAGTGTAAATCATTTGAAATTGTAAAATGAAAATAGGAGCATTGGAAGTAAGAGATTAACTTAAAATGACCATATATCTCTGGAGTCTTCTATTTGAAAAAAATATTATCCAGATTTTTCACCCAAGATCTTCTTAAACTTAGCAACTTTTAATATTGGTTTTAAATGATACACTGATGTGAATTTACTTTATCTTGATAGCAATACCTATTTCTCAGTATTCTTCTTTGCATTTCTGTCCTCTCAGTATTTTGCCAGGCAGAACATTTACTCTTCCTGTTGCTGTTCTGGAAAAGATTAAGCGCTAATAGGCATTTCCTTTTTAATGTGTGAATCTCACCTACCTTTAGGACACTTAGCAGGCTATGCGGTGCAGATTTTCCTTCGCACTCTTCTCCCCTGTCTCCTCTGCCTGTGGAGGTGAAGCCATCCTCTGTTCCAACAATCCATGCCAGCTCTCTGCTCCCAGCTCTGATTACCTAATGTGTAACGGATGAGTTTGATGAGTGAATGAGGGGAGCTCACTGTTTTGCCCCCATGCTCTCCCCGTCACACAGCGAGCACTGCTCCCTCACTACTCTGTATGGCTGTGATTTCTGCCTTTCTTTTCTCTCTCTCTTTCCTCTTCTCATCTTTCACTCTATTACAGCAGTGAGGAGGGGCTTAGCCCCCCCCATCCAACCGATGGACATGTTTGACTCAGTCCTGGTCTATGCCTCTGCTTGAGGAGTAGAGGAGTGCTATCATGGTCTCCTGCTCTTTCTACCTGCATGTTCAAGATCAGGTGGTTAGCACAACACACTTTGATGTTCTCTGTCAGCAAACTCAAGCCCTGTGTTTAACATGCCTCCATAATTACCATGTTTGTGATGGATATGTGTAGTGTTTGTGCATATGTGTGAGAGAGAGACTGACTCAGCCTTCCTGGTGTGCTCTGTTTGAAAAGGGTTTAATGAGTACTTTTGTGGCTCAAGGTCATTTATTGTAACATCAGCTTATTTGCAAAACTCTTCTTTGTGCCTTTTTTTATTTCTCGGAAACATCCAACAATTGAGATGTAAAGCCCTCAGCTTACTTAGACATAATGTTTTGTTATTCTTAACTGTAAGCTAAATATAGGATATTTTGCCGCAGTTGACAATGGAGTGTAGTTTTCTCTGACAACTTCTGGTGTATAGATAGGTGTAGAGATATGAAAATACATGGCATTGCAATTATGTAACAGTCCGAGAACAATCTAAGCATTAAAAACGTTGATTATCTTCTAGGTTGGTAAGTGTTCTCAGTCAATGAGTATAAAGCAATATTTATTTTATTCAGGCCCTATGACAGGGGTTTGCAGGGTTGGAGAATTCACTGTTGTCTAATTGCAATGAACATAGAAAGGGCATTTTCATTTACAGTCTCAGGAAAGAGGCCTGAAGCTTCTCCTTGAGGTTCCTGCGTTGATTCGTTAGATTTTTCTGAGAAACTTGTGTTTTAGTGATGTTTATTGAAACCAGATGATTGTCTGCACTGAGGCCTCTCTCTCGCCTTTGACTTTCCCACATGCACACACTTGTTTGATTTTAAACCATCTATCCACAGCACATAGTAAGTAGATGGTTACCTCTTTTAAGGATGAGTGAGGTAAAAAATAACTTAGTGAAATGAATAAAGAATTACTATTTACACATTCCTAAAGTCTAAAAGCTGCAAGCGCTATATAACTAAGCTATAAGCTGTATATGTGGTTAGCCAGATTGTATCAACTCAAAAGGGGGGAACAGCCAGACCATTGGGGAAAAAATGAAAGATTTATAGTACAGGGAGAGTGGTGTCAGAAAGGTCTGTCCTCACCCATGTTATTTAATGCCCAGTATTTAGACTTTATGTTTTATTTTAGATCCTAAATAGCAGGCGTGTGGTTGGGATAATTTGGAGAGATTAGAGTGCAAAAAACTGGAGCAGGGTGTGACTTCCTTTTCCTTTTCTTGTTATTCCATGTTAGACACTAAGCTGTTTGCAAGTGCATGCTTTCTGTTTACGTTAAGTGATTGTATTCAGGTCTTGAGAACTACGAGTTCTACCTGTGCTTCGATGGCTGTGTTCACATTACAGGGTTAAAATGGCTCACTGACAGTGGTCAGACTGGAATTCATGTGGATTTTTTTTCTTACGTCACACTTTCCTGCGCATGCTCATAATACTGCTGCCGTCATCCAGTACGTGGGTCAGATTTGGCTAACTTGATAAAATGTGCATATGCAGGTCCTTTCAGGACCGTGGTCTGTTCAGTCAAGACGTAATGTTTAGATCTGAGCAAAAAATCAGAATTAAGCCTTGAATTAAGAATTTATTCTTGTAATTAAGACTTGTAAACACAGGCCGTCTGACACCCATGTTTTTCTCATTCACAGTGCTCTGTGACCTGTGGCAAGGGGACCAAGCAGAGAGAACTTGTGTGTGTTTACCACAACCAGACCCAGACGAAGGAAGAGCACTGTGCTCATCTTACCCGTCCCAGGACGCACAAGCTTTGCAGGATGGGACCGTGCCCCAGCTGGAAGACCAACAAGTGGAGAGCGGTGTGTATTTCCATAGTCACCATTAGCTATTTGAATGTCCTACTGGAACACAATTGCACAGTCATTGACCTTTTGCACAGATGCATGACATGGTACTACAGTATTGAATTATCTTCCTGCAGAAAGAAATTGCTATAGCACACAGAAAGCCTCAGTTCTACTTGTTGGTAGGTTTTACTGTGGACGTGCGTGCACCAGATCTCCCCTGGCAGTAGATTTAAATGAGTTGAAATCATTAAAAAAAAAACTAAATAAATAAATAATGAGAAGTCTAAGTATGCATCGCCAGCAAGATGCTCAGTTTGAGAGATTTAACCAAGACACACATGGAACAAGCTTTTCACAATCATTCAAGCCTGGAATCTTTTCGCTTTACATAAACCATGAATGAGACCTCTGCATCATATTCATTTTTTAAAAGCATGTTACTCATCCAGCGCTTACACAAAGCTCTTGTAATTTACTAAATAAATGTTTTGGTAATCAGAATAGATGTAGTACAATTTAGCTGTTCCCTTCATATGCCAGGATACTGTTCCATGAGAAAAATGAAACCGGAAGGCCTCCTGTAAATAATCATCTCTGGTAGTATTTTAGCATTAAGATAAAGATACATTTTTTGTAGAAACATACCACATTCTGCCAGTGTTGAGGAAGTTGGGTGTTAAAGTCAGATTGGTGACTCCACATATTATTACAATTTGTGTGCTAGGTATAAAATTATATTTGCTGCTTGTTTCCTGAAACCTTAAACAATGAGTTATAATCAAATTAGAAAATGTAAAGCAATCTACCTTTTGGCCCACTTTCTGAACGAAGTTCCAAAATCTAAGCAGGGAATCCTCGCGCACAGTTGCACTTGGTCAAAGAGGACTCTGTGTGTGTATGTGTGTTGTGTTTGTGTGGAATGGGGAAAGGAAAAGGTCACAGGCGTGGTGGAGCCAACCGCACACTTCAGATGTCTTGTAGTCTGTAGGGGGTGACACACTTTTGGACTAAACTGTCACGTCAAGGCAGGAAACGCACATGCATACACACAGCTGGCGAGCCACAAACAAAAGACTATCCCAAATTTATCACCAACCACAAGGAATAAACTACTATAACCTCTCTCACGCAATCCATCATGGGATGCTCTGTAGAAAGAAATGATGTGTGCATATGTATGTGGGTGAAGCAAGTGGCGTCGAGGGGAGTTCATTTCTCTTGTTCTGAGAGTTCAACCTGAGGCCAAATATAAACAGAGAAAGCCTCATCTGGAACTAGTTAAAGAAACAGGTTTGAATGTGGAGCAGTTACTGCCGTCCTATTTAAGCTCAAAGTAATACCCACCCTTGGAGAATAGCCGTGAAATCTCATTGGCTGTGCTGAGGCAGGTTCAGAGTGGCTCTCCCAGATCCACTGATGCCATCCCCTACTCCCCGGTGTGGACCCCCATCCCTCTGTCTCTTCCCACTGGGGTCTGGAAGCAATCATCCTCCTCCACATACCACCATAAACCATGAAATCCACAACTAGAGCATAAAGACATGTTTTATATCTTAACATCTATGTCTGTGACAACTTTAGAAACCTCAGAGCCCACCGTTCAGGCCTTTCAGCAGCCTTGCAACTCTCCACAGTCCCCTAGGGGAGCTTTGTTTGGTGGGGGGGATTTAGAGTGGTTAAAACTACAAGAAGAGTGAGGTGCCCTTTTCAGGGTTTGTGTACTCAGAGGGTGCTTCGATGAGGCAATTGAGGAAAGCCTCTACTAGGGGCCAGTAATACAACATGACATTTAAAGATTGACATAATTATCTGTTTGTCATCTCCTGATTATAGACGAACACATCTAAAGTTTGAAAACTGATTTTTTGAGTATAGGATACAGACAGCTAGAACTTTTGAGTAAAGAGAAATGGTAAAAAATAAAAAATATGATTATGAGAACAATAATACTGCAATATCTGTTTTAAGTCTGTCACACCCACACTTTCAGATTACATAGTACTGTGTTGCTCCGAACTCCTCAATCCTCACGATTTTGATTAGACACAGTGCTGGGGTCAAATTTCAGCCCACATCATTTGTGTTGTTTCCAAACCAAAGCCTGCTTTAACTGCAAAGTAAATTGTGACTAAGTGCGTGTATCCATATATATTGGACATGATATGCATGAAAAGAAAAAACACGACATGCAGTTAACAGAGTTAGCAATGCATATAACAAAAGAAACTTCAAAAAGATCAGCTTTCAAAAAAGATAAGATTTCAGCTGATGTTAACATAGGACTTTTGCAGACAATACAAATTAAATGTAACAAAAATATTTGCATCAGCTTTGGGTCTTGCTTAGTGCTGGGACAAATAACTGTGTTATGTAGATAATGAAGACAATATAAGACTATTTTGGATTGAGCATTTAGTACTCATATTACATAAAAGGACAATGGCATTGCATATGACTTTCAAAATCTTATCCCCTCCCCAAGCATAACACTGGATCTACTAAAAATTGATCCTTCTCCTCTTAAGGTAACTAAGAGAAAATGGATATTGAGTGTAACTGTGTCTGTTAAACTGTTCTAAACAACTGTGCCTTTGAAGGGAAAGGGAAAGGATGCACCTCGTCAATTCTCATACTTCAGCCACTTGCAACTGGGAAAGAAAAAATACCATATCACATCATGACATGTCTTTCATGTCAAAGCTAATTTCCATGTTTGTGTGCTGACGTATACACATTGGTATGTGTGTTAACAGTGCTCAGTCAGTTGTGGGGTTGGTGTGCAGACACGCGAGGTGTACTGCAGGTTGAAAGGCAAAGGTCATGTGGGAGAAGAGAAGTGTGATTCCCGTATACGTCCTAGCACCATGCAGCCCTGTCTGGTCCCAGACTGCCATCGCTTTACCTGGTCAGCCAGTGAGTGGACAGAGGTGAGTACTCCCCTTTACTTGTCTTTTTTAATAGTCTTTCATTTCATGTGGTTGCTTCTTTTTCTTCTGGAGTTACGAAGATCTTTCTTGTAACACTGTTGTTGTTGATTTTGATTTTGCCACATCTGCTCAGTTAATTGGAGTGGCCCAGTAACTGCATTCACCAACTAAACTTTGAATGAGTATTCATGTTGTTTTTTTCAAATGGGAGCTTTATTTTCTCATGTGAGTCACAGGCACATCTGGCAGCTGTTCACTCATTTGCACTTACCTTTGATGCATTTATTCCCACAAGACAGTCTTTACCACCTGGGTTCACTGTTATGTATGCGGCATTTGCATGGGTTAGCCGCCTCAGCATGCTCCATGAGTGTTCTTTTATCTCTTCACTCATGGAACTTCAAAGCTATTTCCACATGCCCACACACCAACAAGTACTCAGATGACTCTCAGCCTTCAATTCCTATACCCTTTTGAGTGTTTTGTGTAAGCATTTTGAAGAGTAATTTTATTGTTAGGAATGAGTAGTTACTTGTTAATTAACTCCAGCAAACTGGAGAGCATACCATGTCTGTAAGGGAGAAAGGATTGTTGGAGGTTTTCTCTTAAGTTCCTGCTGAGAGCAATGAACAGTAAAGTGGTTGGGAGAACATGATAGAAACAGTAAACAAGAAAAAGAGAATACAGACGAAAGAAAGAAAAGGATGGAAAAGGGAAGTAGAGAGAAATTAACGAACAAATTAAGCATGTTGATCAGGTAGATTAATAGAGAGAGAGAATATAACCAATAAGAAGAGTAAATGTAAAGGTAGTCCAGCACTCTCCTTCCCCAGCTGAGGGTCTGAATGATAACATCACTGCAGGATGATACATCACAGAGAGAAATCAAAGCGCTGATCTTAATCTGTCCCTCGCTTACACAGAAAAACGTCATGCCACCTTCAAAATACTCCTTTTTCTTCTCATCATCTCTCTTTTATGTCCTCTAAAGTTCAAAACAAAGGCCTGAGGCCCATTTATGGACGAAAACAAAAGCAAGGGCTGCTAGTGAGATGTTGTCATCTCAAGTACTGTGCAAATTCTGTTTCCAAGTTCTTAAAGAGAGAGCAGCATTGTTTTTTTCAAGGGCCTGAAATTATTCTCCACTTTTCAAGTATTTCGTTAGACATTTTGTCTCATGTATAACAGTATTTGATATGATGGATCTTCTTGTTGCCCACTTGACAGCTCCTAAAGAAATATACTTCAGTTAAGAGATGGAGGCTTCTGGGTTAGGAGCAGCACAACACTGCCCCCTCTGGTCACTCTTCTCATTGATTTTACAGCGCCATAATTTTGAGCTCTTGTATGTTCATGTAAAAACAGCCTCCCCAGCAAAAATCATGACCATAATTAGAGAAACCATAATACCGGTCCCAGGTCAGCATAAAAAGGCAACCACTGGCAGTTCTCAAGTAGGCGAACAAAGTAAACTTATAGCCCTTCATAGAGTGATGAAACATTACTGTGAACACTAATGATGATTAGTCAGGTTTCCATTTGATATCAACTCTTTTTTACCTCTAAATATATCTTACAATTTCTCATAATATAGTAATTTCTCATAATCTCAAAAATCAGATTGTCATATGTGTGTGTGTGTATGTGTGTCCAGTGTAATGCTACGTGTGGAAAAGGTATAAGGCATAGAACAGTGCTCTGTATGGATAAGGAGATGACCCCAGTTTTGGACAGCCTGTGCACCCCTTCATCCAGACCTGCCTTGCATCAGCCTTGCCTGAGCACCCCTTGTCAGTACGTCTGGGTAACTGCAGCATGGACACAGGTTACACACCTACATTACTATCATTATTTAATACTTCATTCACTGCAATAAAGGTGCTGTTGTGATGTTTTAGAACAGACATGAGAAATTCACTACTTTTAATGAGCAAGAAAATAGTTACAACCTCCTTCAGGGATATTTGAATGGATTTTAAATGTGCGGTTTATGTGTTTATGATTGCTTGCAGCGTGTAAGTAATAATGAGAATGTCTTTGTATGTTTCAGTGTTCTGTGAGTTGTGGAGTAGGCTACCAGCAAAGGATGGTGTCATGCGCTGCATTGCCCTCTACACCGGATCTGCAGGTGTTTGATGCCCAGTCTTACACGCAGGCCTCACCCACTGAGTGCCCAGAGCCTCCACCACCCCAAACTAAACCATGCCAACTCCCAGAGTGCCCACTACCTGGATACTGGAAAGCTGGGCCATGGAGCAAAGTGTGTGAATTTCTATATGTTTCTATATGTAAAAGGGGTCTAACTAGTCAATGTCTAAACAATAGTGCCTACCAACATTATCCATTATAATAATGTGCGTGCAATTTGAATTTTATATATGAGACTGTCCATGATTATTTATTGATATAGTATGTTATTATCGTATAAAAAAGAAATATATTTTCTTTTTTACATATTTTCATCAGTGTTCTCAGACATGTGGTGCTGGGGTGATGGAGAGGATGGTACAATGTGTCACTGCTAAACATTTGCCTTCTGAAAACTGCCCTCTCTCCAGCAAGCCTGAGTCCCGGGCAGCCTGCAGACAAAGGCAATGTGAGTATTCTTACCTGCTTCAGCACAAAAGTACATCTGAGCAACCCCTACAGTTGAATTCAAGAAGGTACATATTAATTTCCATTGGGCTCAGTGCTAGAATGCAGTCTTTGAGCTCAAAATAAAATATTATACAAGCAGTGTAAAATAGCTATGCATTCACTAGGATTGCTTTTTTGCTTTGAAACCTTTAATTGCTTCTTAAACTTTTGCCCTGTAAAGCTTATCCCAGCCAGAAAGCAGTTTTGGCCTTAATTTTCCAGCACATGGTTCTGCTCTGGTTGGCTTGCCTGTGGCTGTTGTTCATGCACATACAAATATGCTATGTAATGACATTAAATTGGCTGCACTGAGAAACCATCCCATAACTTGATTCTGTTTTGAGGGAGTCAGCTCATTTCTTTAAAATCCAGAGTAGAGACCTCGACTTTCAACCTTGCTCGAAGCTATTTGTCTTTGAAGCGATAAATACCCTGGCCCCTGCCGTCAAGGGGGTCTTCTAAAACCCGTTGGTGTGAAGTTTTTGATTGGTGAGGCCTGGACTTCACGAACGGGGCCTCACGTTTGACCCTAATACAGGGAAGGCCAGCTGCCAAGATTTGCAGGTTCATTCTCTGGTTTCACATGCTTAGACGTGGCTTTGGCACACCGCTAGAGCGTTTTGCTGTATTTTTTTCCTGCCAAGTCAGGCCTGGGCGAAATTACAATGATATGCTTGGGTGACGGGAGAGTTCAATGGGCAAGTATTAATGCCAATCAGGGAATTAAAGAAAACATGCCTCAGTCCACATGGAAATAACAGTATTAAAAGAAAAACAGAAACTAATGGAGAGAGATTAGCTTGTTTATAGTACAGTGAGAACACACACATGCTGTTTCAGATGCAGGCACGTCCACAGTCGTGTGCACTCACATAGTATGTTTCAGTAGAATTATCCTGTGCTGTTAATCAGTGTTGCCTTCAGTTTTTTATTAAGTGCTTTGTTTGCTGAGTATAAGCTGATTTGCTTATGTTTCAGGTGAATTGTTCTCCACGTGCAGGGAGTTGCAGATGAGAGAAGGCATTAGAAAAGATGGAGAACATTACCTCAGAGTTAAATCAAGAATTATCCAGATTTACTGTGCAGAAATGCAGACCAACTTTCCAAAGGAGTATGTAACTCTACGCAGTGGCCAAACTGACAACTACTCAGAGGTGTATGGATACAGGTATCACACACTTTATCGTCTTATTTAAGTTTACATCTTGAAATGTCATGCCTTATGGTTCTGAATTCCTCCATTGCCATCACCAACTACATACAAAGAAACAAATTAATGTACGTCTCCTAAACCTCATAGATTTTCTTTGTCGATTTTGTCTGAGGTTCATTTTTTCATTTTTTCTTTCATGTAATGCACAATACCAGGTTAAACAACCCCTTTGAGTGTCCATTTAATGGCAGCAGGCGCCAGGACTGTGCTTGCAGGAATGACTACCCTGCAGTGGGCTACACAGTCTTTCACAGAGTGAGACTGGACCTCAGCACCATGAGAATAATCAGTGAGTAAGAAGTGAACGATTACCTGATAATTTGTCTCCAGTGAGACCATATGCAGTTGCCATTTAATTAATTATATCTGCTGTATTCATTTAGGTACTAAAATGCTTCTTGATTCTTCAGTAAATATTTTGAATAATTTTGGCACTGTCTTCTAGAAAAACTAAACCATGTGTGTGTGTGTATGCATGTCTGTGCATTAGTGTGAGTGAGAAGACATTTAGGGCTGATTTCCTGGTAACAGATTACATGAAATATTGAACTAAATTGCAAAGCCAGTGGTCAATCATCCCTGAAAATCCTTTAGTCTCAGTTTAATCTGAGCCTGAAAATCAAACCCTCAGTGTCAGCTCACACACCTAGACACACATGTACACAAAATTGTTTAGGGCTATTAATGCGAATTTTGGAAGCAGAACCTGGGACTCCATTTGGAGAGTGGAAAAGAAAGAAATGAGGGAAAAACCAATAATATGCTCAAGATGATATGGAGGTGCTGAGGCAAAAGCTTAGTGTCAAAGTAAAAGAAAGAAGAAGAGCAGAAAATTAAAAGAATGAACACTAAGGCCCAATCCCTTTTCTTATTTTTACCCTTACCCCTTGTTTTCGAGTGTCACCTTGCCCCTCAGAACTGAGTCACAATGGGTAGTGGTTAAAATCTTCCCCTACAAAATGGGACCCTCAAATAAAAAAAACATTACTTCATTAACTGGTTACTACCGGTGCTCTGTAGGCGACTCTGCCAGTCTGCAGTGACAGCAGAGGAGCGGTAAAGTTCAGCAAACTCACTGTCGTGCTTAAGGTTGTAACGCTCGGACAGAAAACCAGACGTGTGCGGATGGTGAGTGCAGGTGGTTTAATATAAACCAAGCGGCCGTAGTCAAAAGGGGAAAAACAGAGATCGTAGTCAAAAAACAGTCCGAAAGTCAAAACACAGATCATACACACAAGCGAAAGTACCAAAGGAATAGGCAATAGGCAAAAACGGAGTCAAATGAAGCAAAAAGGTCAAACACGGTAAACAATCAGAACAGGATGAAAAACGCTCAGTAGTCTCGGAGAAACAATACCTCGCAGTGAGTCTAACTAAAGCCCGGGCTTATCTACTCTAAACTACCTGTCATATGATCATCAACACAGGTGCAAGCAGTCAAAACTCAGGGGATTGTGAGCGCTGATAGGAGCGCCTGTGAGAGTCTGAAGTCACATGAGACTCCATAGTATCCTGGGAAATGGAGTTCTCGTCAGAGTCGGATTCTGAGTGCGGCTGCTCAGTCACATGATCTCCCAGAGAATTCTGGGAGATGATGTCCGTTTCCTCCATAGAGGGAGCCGAATGCATGACAAAGGTAAATTTAGGGCATCATATGCTTTCAAAGAGGGGGATGTGAAAATGATTCATTATCACCCACCCCCAATTCTTTGGTGATACGAAGCTGAAGTAATTTTTTTTTTGCCAGCTTCTCTTTCGAATTTTCCTGTTTCACTTTAAATGGAGCAGCAGTAACATTCTGGCGCTTCAGGCGTCAGCACTGCTGGACTATTTAAGGGGGAGTGGGAAATTTAGCTAGCTAGCTACCGAGACGTTACCATAGTACTAGAGACTGTTATGAAGAAAAGGACCATAATACATTGAAACAACATTAAACTAAGATAAAACAATGGTTATAATTTGTTAACATAGAAAATGCTTGCATTTGTGGGTTTCTTTGGTCATCTTGCCATTTTTTCTTTTTTTCTCATAACACTCTGAAAAACCTCCGTTTGAAGGGCAATGTAGCCCTAACACTTCGCCCTACCCCTCTATATTAACAAAATTGGGACACCCTAACCCTAGACGTGAACGCGCAAAACGGAGGGCTAAGGGCTAAGTGGCAGGGGCAAGGGGTGAAATGGGATTGGGCATAAGAAAGTCCAGGGGCCTGTGATGGAGTGTGCCTCCAGTGTTGTCTGAGCTTTTTATCCTAAAGTCATTTGGCTAAAATGGCCACAGTACGTTATGCTTTCGTGTTGTGTGCTACAGTGTGCTTAATCCAATAAAATGTGTTTTACCCCTCATGTTGTACTGCCCCTAATTGTTTGCTACAGCCACAGATGTGCAGTTCTCTCGGACCCTTCTTGGCCATCCTGTTCCCTTCGCCACTGCTGGAGACTGTTACAGTGCTGCCAGATGCCCTCAGGTATGAATTGGAAGTCTCACACTCAGCCACTGGACGTGAAATTACTCTTTACAGCTAATCTGGGAATAGCTGCTCTGAGCCAAATCAGTGCAACAGTTATAGCAAAATTGCATCTTTTTTAAACACTTCTTTCATCTGTCAGGGTCAGTTCAGCATCAATCTCACTGGAACGGGACTGAAAGTTGCTGAGTCGACTAAATGGGTCTCTCATGGCAACTATGTCGCTGTCAAAGTCCATCGATCAGAGGTAAAGACAGCATCTGAATGTTTTTTCCATGCTAGTGATTAATTGATAGAGATTGATACCATGGTGACATAAGGTGGATCATACGTTCTGATACTCCTTAATTCAGTGAATTAATGTTAAATATGCCTCTTTTGTCTTAACCTTGGTTGGTGCAGGATGGAACAAGAATCTATGGGCGCTGTGGAGGATTCTGTGGAAAGTGTCTGCCTCATCCTCATGCTGGACTCCTTGTTCAAGTCCAGTGAAAAAGGTTCAAATCGAGTGAAGCAGAGTCTGTAAGGTGTCTATCCCTCTAAAAAACTGATCGATGTAAAATATAGACCAAGGCCACTAGTGTCTGATATGGCCATCCATATAAAGAGTGCTGAGGCCTGGATTTTAGCAGTGAATGTCGTGCCCACTGTGCATCCTCCTCCGTCCATCTTTGGCAGCTCCGGTAAATGATCAGGAAAAAACGAGCCACAGTTCAAGTTTCCCTCCAATAAACACCAGCTCACTGGATCCAGGCAAACCCTCACCTCAGTCTTCAAGCGCTAATGACTACCAAATGTGTGTGTACTGAGTCAGAAACTGGAGATACAGACTCTTAGTTCCACAGAGATAATGTCTGGGTCTTTCGTCCTGTTATAGCAGAGGTGCATCCCATACCACACAAGTATTCAGATTGTTTTTGCCCAGGGAAAACATAGCATAAATGTAGTCAAGTCAGCTTCCAAATGAACTGATTGAAGTATCTATTTAAGACAAGGGAAAGCTCTCAGAAGCTTTCAGAAAAGGAAGTGTTTGTCATTTTATTAAGTCTGGACGTTATTTTCTTTTGCTGATCATATTAGTGTGATATAAAGGACTGACTGTTTTTTATTATTATAAATGTTCTCGCTGAAGTTAGCAATCTTTAGGACAATAACAGTATATCCTTCAAAAGGGATTATTTGATGACCGTGGAAATGTTTTGTTCTATGGCTTAGCCAGAAGTAAAAAAAAGAGGTAGCTACTGAAAGACCCTCCCCTCTCTAGATGAATATCACTGTGAGAGGGGTGTGAGGTTAGATATAATCTAATAGCTTTGTTTCATTAAACATGTTCTCAATGAGGAAGGGGAAAGAACCTGACGACAGCAAATAGCTTGATGTGCAAATGTACATAACAGAAACTGTTTGTATTGCTTGTGAATGTCTGTGACTTGCAAATCATTCTCTCACTCATTTGGGCCCACTTTCCTAAAAGTATCATTGTGTTGAGATCACCTTAACTACCTAGCATGTCTATTACAAGTAATAACAGTGCTTCTGGGACATTCTGAGCAGAGCACTGCAAGTCACTGTGAAGAAAAACCTACTGAGGAGTAAAAGTCACTGTAAATCAAATCTATCACTGTAATGCCTATAATAGAAAAGTGAATGATTATCAGCCAAGCGAAATCAGCGAAGAAGACAAGACCACAATTATGGTCATACTGTTCATACAGATCATTTTTTTCTGATGAATACTTGCCACCCCAGTGATGTGTTAGTGTGAAAACACTTATACAATCAAAATGTAATTTTTTCAATTAGTCAAGTAGTTAAGTTAGCCCGGTCATGTGTATTCTAGATCCAGATTGGTTCCTTAACTTGTAATATAATAACAGTCTGACCCTACCTCTTACAAACATGGCTATTCATAATATGTATTTTATTATATTTTAAACTATTTATGTTTGACATTATTTATTCTGTAATGATGTATGTAGATATGTGCATTGTTGTTTCACTATGACTACTACCAATTGCAAACCATTATATTTCTCTGTATCTCTCAGAAATGGTATTACATTTTTTAAGTGTTAGTAACTATTAACTTTGTAAAGGATTATGACATAACGGTGCTTTTTACTACTGAAATTACCTCTAAATTAGGAAGGAAGGTCCTGGACATCTGGAGGTTCGTATAATCAATAGGTACTCCATGTGTTACTGGTGCAAACTATAAGTTTTGAAATGTTTAGCGATTAACAAAATTGGAATTGAGCTTCAACCAAAGTTGTCTTTTGTATGTCATTTCAGCTCATTTTGGTTTCAGAGAACAGTAGAACCAATGTTGTGGAAATCTGTGAGCAGCTAACAATGTTTGGTTATTGTTGTTTTGATAGGCAACTGAACTATGAGGTCTGTATCAGAAATAAAAGGATTACTTGACGCACTATGTGCCATGAAATGTGTACAAATATAGACATCATTTTTTATATAAATACAGGTATATTAACAATTTAAGTTTTGTAACATGTTAAATATAATTATTTTTAATATGTATACTTGAAGTTCAGAAAACTGTGTTTTGATTATGAGTGTAGGTTTCTGTGGTGAAATAAATGATGATGATTCATTGGCCACATATTACCCAAAGATGATTTACAGAGGCCTATTTACCTGTATGTGTTCAGTATATAGAGTGTTATATTGAATTCATGATTGTTGGTGCTTTGCTCAGTAGTAGTGAAGGACGTCTGATCAGTTCTGTAGGTCATGCCACTGTACTAACTCTGATTTGAAAAGAATAATAAAAATAAATGACACTTTTATGGAAGGTGGTGTTGTCACTATTCATCATGCAGCCAAAATACTGCACAATTAGTAAGAAAGTAAAGAACAATTTAAGCTGACTGTTTCAGAATTGCCTGCAAAATATTTGCTTTTGTATGGTAGCTTCAGTTCTGCAGCTTTTCAGTCTAGACCACAATGCAGCCCACAGTGCACAGGAATGTGACTGCATAGTATCAATTACAAAAGCTGACACTGGGCTGTCTAAATAATGGTACCTCGCCCTATTGTTGTGGCAGCACGAAAGAATGAGATCATTCTTTCATTACAAGTAATGTAATGGTCAAGGTCTTTGTTAACAAAGTCAAAGCAGCACTGTCAGTTGAAGTAAGGCAGTTATGCCCAATGAAGTCAGTTATACCACGAGTCGTCTTGATGTAGTGTCGAAACATATTTTTATGATGATGTAACTTAGATCAAAGCAGTATGTCCCTAGTATAGCTGTGCTATTAGAGTCAAGGCATCAGTCGAGTCAACAGCCAACTTTCTTTATTGTTCCACTTACATGGAGCAAACAGACCAAAGAGTAAAAGTACGTTGTTGCAACATTGCTTTTAAAAACCATTTGGCTCTTGTCCATAGGTCCACCCTCCATTTGTGGCTGAGCATCCACCCAAGATTTGGCAGCAGTTCTGGATGACTTAATAATAGTTCAGGCTTCTCTAATAATGAGACTTTGCATGGGCCATATTATAAGGTATTGCCCCATGGGGAATACTGGCTGCTCAATGGCTGACTTTATTGGCTCGAACGAGACATGTTTTAAATTAGTCTGGCACTGCATCACTCTAACATGGTAATCTTTAGGGACCAGTTTTATTGTGTTGTTGTTTTTCCATATGTTTAATGAAAGGAAACTTTCAATTTACCATTAACAGAGTAATTATCAACAGAAAACACATGAATCTGAATTGTTTTTACACACATTGAAACCTCATTCACAACATCAAGTTGTCTTTGTGCTTTGCACTGTGTTCTTTTCTCTGGACATGAACATGAGCTTCATCAGAGTTAGAGCCTACATTTATTAACATCTCTGTGCCTAAAAAAGTTTTTGCTGGACTAACAAACCTGTTGTATCTCTGGTCTAACCTATTGGTAACTAGCAAAGATACTTTCTCTGGATAGACAAAGCACTTTTTGTAAGTCGCTCTGGATAAGAGCATCTGCTAAATGCTGTAAATGTAAATGTAAATGGTTTAAAAGATGCATCTTTTCCTGTTACTGACTTTTAAGTTAAACAGTTAACAGTCAGTAAATTGTAACAGTACAGTCAGTCATATGTATGTCATTCTATCATTGCAGTAAATTACATTTCTGTAAGTAAGAATCTTTTAAAAACCTGGATATTTACTATTTTACTTGTGCAGTGTGCACAGTGACTTCAACAGCAGAGCCCCCTCTATAGTTAAACTAAAAAAGTGTCAAATTGTTATTTGACCAGGCCATTGATATTAACAAATGGTGTAAAGAGCTGTTCTTTTTTGGATCAAATACTGTATGAGAAATCTATTCTATTTTTTGGTCAATACTGCTCTCTACTGCAAATATAAGGACACTTCATCCACACTGAGTCATTTTCCTTGACCATGCTGGCCAGCAGATGGAGACATAATGTACAGTAATGTGGTCTAACACTGTACCATGTTGTCTTGATATCTCTTACATTCATTTTTATGCCAAGGGCACCCTCATAATAATACACATGTACCAATTAACTATTTACATATATAAACATGTAGCATAGTTTATAACTGGTCAGACATTTAAGATATGTAGGCCTACTGCACTCGTTCTGTTTCTAACTTAAAGGAATTGTTCACTGAAAAAAAAAACACTTTTCCCCAAATACTGTTGATCAGCAAAGACATGTTTTATGGAAAATTGTGTAAACTGAAGTCTGTAACATTTGCCAAAACAAAACTGAGAGATAAAATAAAACTTTTTATGACTTTATGCATAAGTTGGCCATTTTCATTGAATGCCAATGCCAAAGCCAAGCCTGCAGTGGTGAACTGTGACTTTCAGACTTGGGCCTTCAGTTCGGGCTATAAATGTCAAAACAGTTTAATAATGCTCCGTATGTTAGCATTAAGCTAACGCTGCTGCGCATGAACATTTTTGGTTGTTCAGCATTAAAGACATTTGAAGCTTGTAAAATACATTAACATTTTTGACCTCATGTAGCAGGTTTACTGCACTCTTTCAGTGAAGACCTCTGACTTTTGAGCCTCCACTGCTGTTTTCCATTTCTAATATCTGACGGAAGCTTCACTAGACTACCACTTGTATTCATGGCCAGTGGCGTATTGAGAAGGCCTAGCGTAACGTTTTCTCACTAAATTCGTGGTTGGTTGATAGTTAAAGCAGAGCGCACAATACATTTTGCTTGATTTTCCAGTCACAGAGATTTTTTTGAGAATTAATGACAAACCACCTAACTCACTGAGAAATTGCTGATTAATTTGATTTCCTAGCGTACGAGCTGCCTCACACGCCCCAGTATTTTCAAGCATGTTCAAAGTTCTCTGCATTGAGCACTTCTGTGAAAAGTAATAGATTATCCTGATTATATAATTTTCTATTTCAAGATTTTAACCTCTTTGTTTCAAACGAAAACATAACAATGAACTATTGATACTTCTACAATTCTTGCAGATTTGAATCGAACAAATGGATTTTATTACAAAAAATGCACAAAATAATTATTACAAACATGTGTTCTTTAGCTTCCAGAAATCATTAGGCCTACTCTAAAAGCCTAGGAAAGGCCCTGCAGGTTTCCTTCTGATTGCCTTAAAGTAACTAGTTCAGTCGCACATTAGTTTGCATGCCTGTGTGTAAAACATAATTTTCTGCTCTTTCCAGTGCTCACTATGTTGCATCACATGATGCAGTGTTCAGAGGGCCGCTCATAAGTAACACCATGCTGTAGAATAGAATCCCCAAGCACGCTTGCAGGTTTCACCTCCAACCCAAACCTACCACAACTCATTCAGCTAATCAAGTACAGTCATTAGCTGGGTCAGGTGTGGAGGTTTAGGGTTAGAGCTGAACTATACAGTGCAGTAACAAAGGTATGTGTTAACAGTGGTCACAGTCTGTGTGCACGGCTTGTGGTGTGTGTTACATGTCTGAAACTCCATCTGAGACAGCTGCAGGTGACACATGCCTGTTCCAGCACAGAGCCTGTGCACACTCCACATGCCACTGTGTGGTGATATCAGAGCTGACTGGGTTGTTGAGAAGAATTGTTACTAACCTCAAAGCCCACTGAATGTTCTAGAGGACATCACATGTTTCACACATGCGAGTTGTGCTGAAGATGACTGATGTTCTTTACTGTTCTTGGGACATTTTCAGTGTTTCTATAGGTGTTTAAATTTGATGTTCTGGAAAAAAGGGAACAATTCCAAGCTGATTTGTTGGTTGCGATGAGTTAGTGTGAGGACTGGGGATGTGGATCATGTGACCAGCTCTACTCGAACATACATGATTTATCGGTCATGCGGGAGACCGAGCATGATTTGGATTTTTAAAACATGTGCCCAGCTATCCATCTTCCAACTTTCCAGCGATGAGTGCAGCCCAGTGCTATGGAACACGCTGTATAGGTCAATTCCTTTTGGACCATATGCAGTTTGAATTATTCTGTGTATGATATTAGGACCATCTGTGGGCCTTCAGAACTACATGGTCTTCGAAAGGTGGACAGCAACGATCACTGCAGTGAATGTCTAAGAAGAATATTTTACACACAAAAGCTGGTGTACGATTTCCTCTGTCTCTTTTATGTCTTTTGAATACTTGTTTTAATTTTGTGTTGATCAAGTTCAAACATAAATCAAAAAAATTAATTTGGTTACAAACTGCTATTAAGATTAAATACAACATACATTAATATACTTAGGTCCACCGAGTTATTTTCAGAATGAGCTTGTTTCAAATGTTCATTCAAAAGTTCATTGCAAAGGAACTCTGGAGAAAAGTTTAAAGGTTTGACTCACTGGATTTAAACTTTTCAGAAAACATTCAGAAAATGACCGAACTCATAAATTAAAGCTTAAAAATAAAGTCCAGTGTATTATGCATGCCGCCAGAAGTGACGCAGAGTGTC